CGGGGAAGACAGCGATCTGTCCAGCGGCGGGGTAGACAGCGGTCTGTCCAGCGGCGGGGTAGACAGCGGTCTGTCCAGCGACGGGGCGGACAGCGGTCCGTCCAGCTGCCGACTGACGGACAGTCTTGCGGAAGCAGGGCGTGTCCGGCACAGCTGTCCTCTTGTGGTGAGGCATGACTTGTGTTTAGCTATGCCAGCTAGTTAATGCACTGATCCTCGTGTAGGGTCACGACCAGACTAATCAAGTCCAGCGTCAGACAGTTTAAAACGGGTACACAAGACCACATCTGCGCATTGGTGATACAGAACTACCAGACAGCAGTGCCCAGTCGTGTCTTGCTGGCAGGTCTTCATCAACACCACCGGGCAGACCGGTTTTCCATTCGCGGCCTGCGTCAGCTGATTTCCAGTAGTGTCCGCCTATGGGTCGCTTTGAAAACGTTCGGCGCGAGCAGTGCTGAATCCCGTGCAGTTGAGGTGATGTCTTCTTGATTGCTGTTATTTATGAATACAGTCATGAAATGAAATTGCGACACGAGCAGCATTCGATCTGAGCCATTCAACACGCGCGGCTGCACCTTCCATCACACACCTGCATGTTTGCTATGATTTGGTACAAATGAGACATTTTACGTTCGCACGGTTATGCAGAGTGAATGCGCAACAAACAAGCAAATGCTATGTTGTATGACGATCTAGACATCTAGACGTCCCTACATCGACCGGTGATAATGTCCTCCTCCGAGCCGACATCCCCGAGCATAGCGCCATCCCTCAGCGGAGCGCCATCCCTCAGCGGAGCGCCATCCCTCAGCGGAGCGCCATCCCTCAGCGGAGCGCTACCCCTCAGTGGAGCGAGTCAGCTGGAGCGCTCCAGTCGGCCCACGTCTCTGGCATGTTAGTCGCCGCGGCTGGAGCGGCTCCGGAGGCGACTCCAGCGGCGGCGGCGGGCCCAGCCTCTGCGTGGCAGTGGCCAGACTCCCCTGGGAACGCGGCGAGCCGCTTCCGTGTTCCGTGTGAACGGAGCGGCGGCGGCCGGCGATGGGCGCCCCGCCGGCGACGACCGGCCGGCCGGCAGGTGCGGCGAGCCGGCTGCCGCCCACTCGCGCTCACTAACGGCCGGGAGGCGCTCACTCCCGCTCACTGACGGTCGGGGAGGCGCCCACTCCCGCTCACTGACGGCCGGGGAGGCGCCCACTCCCACTCACTGGCGGTCGGGGAGGCGCCCCCACTCCAGTCCAATGGCGTCTGACGAGACGCTCACTCTTGTTACTGACAGCTCACTGATGACACTGACGGGTGAAGAGGCTCTCACTTCAACTCATTCCCGCTCACCGACGATTCACTTATGATGGAGGAGCTCGCTTGGGCTCACTGACATGCGGGCGGCGGTCATTCCCGCTCACAGAAGGACTCCAGATTCTCACTCGCACTTACTTCAGTCTCTCCCACTTATTACCGATCGGCAAGTGCTCACGCGGTCCCTGACGATCGAGGAGGTCCTCACTCGGTTCCTGACGGCTGTGGATATAGTCATCTTAAGTGAGTGATGGTTAAGGAGGCGCTCACTCCTAGCCACTGACGGCCGAGGGAGCATGTGCATGTGTCTAGTGGAAATGTTGCCATGGCATCCCTGCAAACTACCTAATGAAGTGCTGTTTACTGCAGCTCATCAGCGTCCAGGAAGTTATTCATCGCCCATGATGACCAGGAAGTCACCCATGCACGCCGCCGTGCTATTCATTGTATATGTCTGTGTTCTGCTCTCTTCCGCTTACCGTTTTGTACCGTATATCCATTCTTGAACGGCCATGACTGGCTCATCGTAAGCTAGGAGGTGTGTGAAGGTGTGGAAGGGGCTGGAAAGCTGTGAAAAGCGCTTTCCAGTCGGTAACATTTTTATGTTTTATTCAATGTGCGAGCACTCCTCATCTTTCCAACCCCTATCGCTGGTCAGCTGACAGGATATTCACTCCCACCCGCGTGGGGCCAAGTCGACCATCCCTGATATCCCCCCCCCCCCCCCCCTGGTGCGGCCGCTGCCAGAGACCGGTCGGTTGACCTAGCGGTAGTGCACGCGAGGCCCGAGCCGACTTCGAGGAAATGTCTTAAGCCTAAAGCATATGCATGATTGTGATTACGACCGATACGTTGGAAAGGGCACCGTTACTCAGAAATCGTGAGCTATGGAGTATCGGTATCAAGCATCTAAACGGATGTCTGTGATTTCATCTTACTCATTGGATTAACATGACATGTAAGGCCGTTGTGTGGCGATGAGTTTGCCGATTTTGGACCATTTTGAACTCCTGGTGCATGATAATGTTGCGAATGTTTTAAAGGCGGACACAGCTAGGGACATCACGTTTCCAGACCCAATTTTGTCCAGCGATGCGCTTTGGCTCATGATATAACGTGCCAGAGAGTGAATTTGTGCCAACTGTTTTTGATTTGAGTTATACATCTTGCGACGAATTAAAAATAGTAGAAAAGCTATTGTGTAGAAAGTCAACCCTGTGCTGCCTCATTTTTTAGGGAACACATACTAATGAGAATGAATAGCATTAAAATGAGCATTGCCCAAAGCGACGAACGTCCCCTAAAAGCCGATCAAAGGTTACAAAGAACTATTTGTTTGTTTAAGCTGCGTGTATCAGAAAATCCAATTTCGCACTAAAAACACACTCTGCTACGGTGGATGCGTTATCCAGTCTCACATGTGAAGAGCTATGCAAAAGTGACTGCGTTTTTTATGCAGCTTTTTCAACGAAAGCCCACCCTATGTTTCGCCAGTAAGCGAGCTGATTTTTGGTCCGCATCGAAGAGGAGCGGATAGCAATCAGCGGTCCACATCGAAGAGAAGCGGGTGGCAATCAGCGGTCCACATCGAAGAGAAGCGGATGGCAATCAGCGGTCCACATCGAAGAGAAGCGGATGGCCGGAGGTGCCGTGGAACGGCGGCGCGGCGGGCGCGGACGAGCCGAGCTGGAGGCTACGTCCCGCCCGTGGCGGCCGCTGGGGCCGAGCTGCGGCCGCGGAGACTGCGGCGGCGCACAGCACACCATCGAGACTGCGTCGCCGCGTCTGAACACAACACCACGGGCCGACCCACCCCGCTCGCGTGAGCGGCCGCGCGAATCGTGGGAGCACGCCAGCCGACGGCGCACTTCATGCAGATTTCGTCCCTCCTCGGCAGAATCCCGCGAAGATCAGCACCTGCGAGCGCCGTGGAACGGCTCTCCACACGCGCCGCGCCCAGCGCAGCGGCGCGCTGGCCGCCGGGCGGCCGGGCGGCCAGCGCGCCGGCTCGGCGGGCCGGCGGATCGTCTCAATAGGCCGGCGCCTCACCTGGATGCCGCTGGCGACAGCCGGGGCTCCGGCCGACACGGAGGCGGCCGCCGCCGGCTCCGCGCGCCGGCGCCGGTCTCCGCGCCCTCAGCTGTATTGATCCACAGCCATGTCGGGCGTTGCCTGCGGACGCCGTTTGCGGTGCGGTTGCGTGCCGGGCGGCAGTGTGGCGCACCACCTGCGCCGCCTTATGCTACATTTGCTGTTCACGCTGCCGGCGTTCAGGCGGCTGAACATAAGCCTGCGGAACGCAGCCTGTGTCGACATCGGGGCTCTGGAATCCGGCCCGCTCCCGCCTCGCCATCCTTACGTAGCCGTGCCGCCGCCGGGGCAGTCCACTGACCCCGCACTTGACCGCCATCAGAATTGGGATGGCAGCTAGGGAGCTGAGCGCCGGCTAACACACTGTGGCCCGTCCGCGCACGGCTCCACATGAGCGCCTCAGCCATAGCCGCCTGTTGGGCCGCGTGACACGGGAGAGCCGGCGTCTTGAGCAACCCAGCCTGCGTGAGGCCCACTCCCGCCCAGCTCGAAATGTTGCGCAACCGGAACACGCCGCGGCAACCGCAACAATACCAGCGGACGGAACGGAGAGCCTCCCGGGGTTCCGCCCCCACACGCACGAAGAGAGACGTTCGCCGCGGACGGCGCGCCGGCGGGCCGCGGCCGCGGGAGCCCCGGCTGACGTCGGAGGCGGCCTCTCGGCTCGACCCGGCGGCACGGGCGGCCGAGCCGGGCCTCCCGGCATACCTGGCCACCGCACCGGTCGCCGAGCTGTTGACCCATGTCGCGGTGGGCGGCACTTCCGTGTACCGGCCGGCCGAGATGACGCCGCAGATAGCACCTCTGCAAACAGAGCCGGGTCCGGCCCGACGCCGGGTCGGCGCCGGAATGCCCGGGTCTCGGCCGGCGCCAGGCCGCGGCCGTCCTCGGCGGCCGGCCGCCGACGCTCCGTATCGACTTTCAGCTCCGTGGCTCGGCTCTTTATTGCCAATTAAGAATGCACTGTCGACGATTTACGACGTTGGGAGATATTATTATCATTCCTGCCCGGCCTCGTACTCCATTCCGCTCGTCAACCCGTCCTATAAATAAGAGCAACCGGATTTCTCGCGTCCCATTGAGCCTAGTGGTTTCGAGGTGGCCTTCGAATGACATTTCAGTCGGCTTCCGACAGGCTGCAGCGTCGCGAGCGACCGGATCGCTGCGTTTCTATTCCGGCGCTGTAAAAAATACTTGATCGACTTGTAGCTGTACTAAAGAATGCAGATTTTCCCCACGGGCCGCCGTCCGGCGGGTAGTTAACATTCCTTTCTAGACAGGAGCGGTAAGCGAAACCGATCAATTGAGGAGGTAAAGTGAGAGACTGCGCGTACAGTCGGCCGCTCTGTCGCATCTTTGCGGGTGTTTTTCGGGCAGGCTTAACTTTTGCTGCACTCTTGCCAGCTTGTTTTCAACAGCCAAGCCAATGCATTTCCTTCCGCCGTCTTGCGCCGCGCCCTTGCCACGCGGGCCGTGGCGGTGAGAGCGCAGGGATCTGTCTCGCGGCCGCGCTCCTACCCTCGGCGCCGGCGCCGCTCGCCCGGCGTAGCGGCGCGCCGGCGTCCCCGGACAGTCCGCGGTCGGCGCCCGAGCAGTGCTGTGTGCGTCTCGCCAGCGCGCGCGCCACTCGATCTGTGACGTCACGCGCCCGCCGGCCGACCCGAGCGCGCGGTATTTGTTCCGGCGCAAATTACAGACGGGGCCGGGCCGAATAGGCGGCCTGTCAGTCGAGCCGGCGAGCAGAGCCGAACCGCGACGTGAGAGAGCGAGCGGCCGACGGACGGTGCCCAGATGCGAGTCATCCACAACAACCTGCAGCAGGCGCGCGACCAGCCGCCCTCCGTCATGGACAAGCTGCGCAACAACTTCAACCAGCTATGCCCGCTGCTGCGGGCCCGCTATCGCAAGTTGTTCGACGACTACGCGTCGTCCAAGGAGAACATACCGCTGCTGATACAGAGCGCCGACTACGTGTCCTACTCGTGCTCCTGCTGCGGTCGCACGCAGAAGCTGCAGGTGGGTCTGGTGGCCTGGGGCACAGCTGACGCCGCTCCGGCTGGTCGGCGCCTGGCCCAGCTGTGTACGGTGTCGGCGCCACGCCCGCCGCCCAATGGCCCCGATACGGTTGACCGGTGGCGAGCTGCGGCCGCCGGCGGCTGCGCGCGTGCGTGCCGCCGCTCGGCCGTCCTCTCGGCGGCGGCGCCGCTGCCGGCGGCCGGCCGTTTCAGGTCAGCGGCCGCCAGATCCGGGACGGCGCGGCGCCAGCGCGCGCTCGCTCGCGCCTCTCTCGTTACCTCGTTCGCCAAACTGCTAATGCAGCTTGACCGAGTTCGTGGCGCGCCGGCCGACGCCGCTACTTTCTAGCGACGGCCGTATGTATGGGCGCCGCCGGAGCTGCCTGGACGGACGCGCCGAGAGCCGTCGGCGCTGATCCGATGCAGGCTTTATGGCTTCGCCAGACGTTCCGGCTAATGCTCGCAGCCGCGGGCCTTGCCCGATTCGAACGGGCTTCGGAAGGGCTTCGCAGAACGTTCAGTCGGTCGATTGCGTCTGGGGCTGTCGACCGCTTACAAATGGCGTGCTTTTGTGGGTCGTTTGTCGGCCAGTTATATCCTGTTCGCCAATCTTCCGCATGTTGTGATTATTTGCTTCTTTCGGGCGGAAAGATGCCTTTGTTTAGGGCTCACACAATCTCATTATTTTCCAACGCACAGCTCGTTTCGAGTGCTGGTCAAATGCATTTCGCAGACACAACCGAGCTATGCCGTTTTGAACAAACCGCAAATAGCTTACACCACTTTGCAGTGTTTTTCCCGTCAGCTTTGAACACCCCATTACTGCAACTCGCGACTGGCCAAGGCATGCCACACGTGTGCGCGCCACCATCCGCAGCCGCTCGGCGGAGGCCCTACCCTCCGAAGCGTCCACGTGGCTGGACTGCCGCTCGGTGGTCTTGTCTAGTAATCTCGGCGCGCGCACCCGACCGCCACTCCCTTATTATCCTATCTATCCTTCTAATTATATTCAGAACCTAACCTCTAATTATTCGTTTCCACTCGCCGCGACAATCAGGCAGGCAGTGCCAGTACGAATTTGCTTTTCTCCTCCTGCCACGACGCTCTTTGAGGGCTCGAGAATGCATGACCAGCCACGGCACCGGCTCGGTGGTTACCGACAATTTATTGTTCCGTCTTAATTTTCATTCTTTTGAGCTCGCCGGCATACAGGCTACCGCATCATAAGAACAATAGCACCTTCTCAGGAATTTATGCCGTCTCTTTTTGTGCGGAAATAGGGTCAGCCCGGTCGTTTAGAATTGCTGTGTGAGGCCCGCGACCCGAACGCTGAAGAAAGCGTAGTACCTACTGGTACGAGGAACCGCTCAGGAGGCCTTGCATGGAAGTTTGTGTGTAACTGTAAACGGAATATTTGCGTGCATACGTGGCGTTAAACTCAGTCACTCATTGGCGTCTTCGGATGAGCATGCGCTTTGTCTCGCCGGATGCAGACTGCGATGGTGCGATCTCAGCACGAACACGCCCACCAGACCGCGATGGTGCGATCTCAGTGCAAACATGCCCACCACAACATCCGCATTGCGCCACATCCTGTGAAGTGACAGGGCGCAAAGGCGGAATGAGAACGTCCGCCTCACGTGCAGACGTGAGGCGCACGTGGCTTGAAAGCCGCCGCATGACTCGGCAGGCTGCGGTGCGTGCACGGGAAGGAGGTCGAGGCCGCGCCTGCGACCTCCGCGCGGGTCGTGTCTTGTCGGCTGGTGTTGCCCACTGGTCCTAACGCGACGGAACCTCGTACTTTGCAAGCCGGTGAAGGAGACTTGGTGTCGATTCGGGGCTCCACATGGTGCATGTCGTCTGCGGTGACGTCATGCGACCAGAGCTTGAGGGAGCTCATAGTTTTCGCCTCCTCGTAGGTGGCCGACAATTAAACATGCATTCCTTTCCATGTTTAAGCGTACCACCATTGCTTCGCTTAGCTCTCGCAGTTCGAAGATGGTCTCAATAGCATCGCTCCACGCCCTCAGCTGTTATCGCTCCGACTGCGCCTCTTCTCCCGGACAGCAGGCACTTTCTGGGGCTTCGCTCTCCGGCTGGGCGGTGACTGAGACGACTGTGCTCCTTCTCCCAGGCAGCAGACACTCTGGGGCCTCGCTCTCCGCCTGGGCGGTGACTGAGACGACTGTACTCCTTCTCCCAGACGCCAGTCACACTCGAAGGCTTTGCTGTGCGCCTGTTCTGTGACCGAGACGATTCCGCTCCGTCGCCCAGACAGTCTGCGGCACCGCACTGCCGCGCGGTGCCGGTGCCGTTGTGGCTGCTGAGATGCGCCGCCGCCGCCGAGCGGTCTTAGTGACGCGGCGGCAGCACACGGTCTGTCGGCTCTGGCGGGAACTCGGCCGCGGCCGCGGCGGCGCGTCACATCCCCCAGCTCTCGCGGCTCGCGCCGGCTCTCGGTGCTTGTCTCGGGTCATCTCCGCCTCCCCCCGACCTTGGCTCGAGCTGGCTCTCGGTGATCAACTCGGGTCATCTCCCCCAGATCCTCCATCTCCATCTCTCTCCAGATCTCCTTTCCCTCAGGTCTTGGCTTGAGCAGGCGTTCGGTTCTTGGCTTGAGTCATCTCTTGCCCCCTCCCTCCTTCCCCCGGGTCTCGGCTACGGCAAGCGCTCCGAGAGACAAAATTGTCTGCGCGTCAATGTGGACAGCATTGGGCTTTGCATCTCGTTAAAGCTACCGCGGCTGAGACAACAGTACGGTGAGAAATGTAGAATGCGGCGTGGTAGATGTGGCAGCAATCACGCCAACTATCTGCGAAATTAGCACAAGGTTACGCTCCCCGGTGGAAGACGTGCCTTCTGACAGGCCTGTCCGAACGTCGGTGAGCCAGGAAGGAGACGAACTTGTTACATTTGTACTATTGGGACCCCTTGGCATGGAACGAGCCTGAGCGTTCAGACACGCTTTGCTCGAGCGGCGCGCGTACAAAAAGCAGCCGCGGAAGGCGGATCACGCATGCAGCCGAAATTAACGGTTGTTATGCACGTCTCAACAGCCACTCTAATCAGCTAAATGGGCTCTCGTCCTGCCAACACCCGGTCGATTCCAAACGAGGTCGGGCTTAACGCCGTGAGTGAGCCTTTTAATGCGGCAATACATAGCACTGCGAAGGACAAGACGCTTTCACGTACCCCGCATTTAAAGTTCGCCCGCCCAGCTGCCGTTGGTGACCTTCGTCGGCTGGTTCTGCCTCGGGTCCTCGCGCGGTGCAGTGCAGAAGACATTCCGGTGTCCCTGGGCGTGCGTTTTTGGCGCCGCGGCGGCGGCCGGCGCCGTCGCTGCGACGGCGCGGGGAGTGGCGCTGTTTTTCGGCGGCATTCCGTGCATTGCCGAGCGCCGCGGCGGGCTGCCGACGCTGCTTGCGTTTTTGCCGGAGCTTTTTAACGCGCGGCCAAATGGTGGGGTAGCGGGACAGCGCTGATGAGCCCGGTTCTGCCCGCGCGCTGTCCGGCCTCCACAGGAGCGGCAGCAAGGCCGCCGCGCGCGGCCACCTGGCTGGGAGGGAGGTGTTTGGTCACCACGGCTGGGGAGACGTATTTGGCTAACGCCCCGGCCTCTGCATCCTTGACATTCTTTACGTGTTTGGGCCACGCAGCGGGATGCCATGTTACGGCAGTGACGCAGCAGTTGAGGCGCGTCTGCGCTTGGGTGAGGCCGTGCCCGTGAGCGGCGCCGGAGCCGGAGCCGCCTGTCTCAGGGCAGTCGGCTCCATCATCCCATCCTTTGTAGGCCGCCAGCGCTGGGCCGCCGCTTCCTCCTGCTTTCCCTCACACTATCAATGTCAGAAATCAGTCAGGTGGCCGATCCTTAGAAGCGCCACGTCTATGGGGAGTTTATTGAAGTCGAGCACCCGGTCAAAAGATCTCTCCGATCTTATCGAATTGTCCGCCGCCGCGTGAATGGTGCCGGAATTCCTCGGGGGCGCGGTCTGAATGACCGCAGCCGAGTTATGCGCGTTTGATGAAGTTTGACATGCGGGCCTCGGCGGCCGTGGCTCGCCCCGCCGGCCTATTTTGGTTCGGTGCCGCTCAGCGAACAAAGGGTGTCCATGTCGACCAGCGGCCGGCCGGCGCGCGGCGGCGGCCCTTTTGTGCTGGACAAGGGGCTGTGATGGCCGCCGGCCTGGCGGCGGCCGGAGGGGCGGCGGCCGGCACCGCCCCGCGCCCGTCACGCGATTACAGGACTTGCGTACCGCCGGGCCGTGCCGGCCGCCGGGCCAGCCGGGCTCCTCGGCGCGGCCCGCCGCCCCTGGCGCGGGCCCACCACCCGCGGCCAGAGACACGGCTGTGGGCGAGGAATGCCACAGGGACACACAGGGGGCAGGGGCGGGGGATCCCTGACGGGAGTACAGCCTTCGCCTCATCTCCTGGCGAGAGGTACGGGGGTCACTGGAGGGGGAGGGACGCTAGCGACAGAGCAAACCCTCGAGCTGTCTCCGCTTTCGCTGCCAAGAGGGGTCGATGTCTCGTTTAACAGTTGGCTACTCAACGACCACCCAACGAGTGAACAGGGAAAATGTGTGAACCGGCTTAGCGAGCAAGTCTAATGACCAGGCGCATGGTTTTAGCAGAGGATGGTGAGCGGACTGCGGTGAGCGGTGAGCGGTGAGCGGTGAGCGGTGAGCGGATGGCTAGAATTGCTTGGAAAATGGCTGTATGACTGCGTGCTGTTTACTCGCTATGAAGGGTGTTTGACGGATAGGTGGTTACGTTACAACATGTGTGCTCTTGAGGCTTAGAGCAAAGAAAATTGCACGATAATTCCCTGTCGATGATGCCACATTGCTTCCGGTGTACCAGTGCGTGCGCGTGCTTGTCCGCTGGAGGGCAAATTTCCCCGGCGCGGACTAAACGTGGCCACTAACGCTAATGACTTCCACGCTACCGTGCCGTCAATGGGAGCAATTAAATGCCGTCCAGCTGTTATCCGGCCGTCCGAAG